GCCGCTGCGACACCTGCCGCATCGGGCGCCCCGCCCAACACCCGCCCGCAGCGACTGTGCAGCGGTTCCCGCGCCCGTCAAGACGAAACCAAGCGCCTGTTACGCAATCACGGTCCAATTGCCTCCACCTCTGGCCGATGAGTCGGGTCTCCTGACCTCGACGCCCTTGCATGCCGCACCATGCTGTGAGTACAGCCATCACATCTGCCCCGACCGTGCTCTCCAGAATCTATTTCCCGTACTTCCCGGCTAGGCGTGGTGGACGCAGTTCCATCTCAGGCAGCGAAGCCGTGCTCGGATCCCTGATCCTGACCAACTGCGTCTGTGCCTGCTGCCTCCTCTGACGTTGGTCCTGTGTCGGCCTTCGACGCCCCAGCGATCACTGCCGGGAGGAACAAACGCTTTGGCCCGTCCCGTATATCTAGAGGCCCCTGGCCCCTCTCCTCGCCCACACTCCTCCGCGCATCATGTCCTCCGAACCGATATCCTCTGCGTACGTCGCCGCTGACCAGCATGCTAGCGCCCAGGGGGTCTCCGAGCGCATCACGCTCTACGACGGGCGCAAGGCGCCAGTGCGCCTGCACATCCTCATCGTCGGCTGCGGCCTCGGCGGCCTCGCCGCCGCGCACTGTCTCGCGCAGGCCGGGCACAAGATCACGCTCATCGAGGCCGCGCACGCGATCGGCGAGGTCGGCGCAGGCATCCAGGTCACGCCGAACGTGACCCGCCTCCTGCGCCGCTGGGGCCTCGGCGACGCCGTCGAGCGCATCGCCGTGCGCCCGGAGGCGATCGTCTTCCGCCGCTACGCGACCGGCGAGCGCGTCGGCTACACCAAGTGGGGCGAGAACATGGAGGAGTTCGGCGCGTCCTACTACCACATACACCGCGCCGACTTCCACAAGCTCCTCTTCGACCTCGCCGCGCCGAGCATGACCCTCCGGCTCAAGTCGACCGTCGTCGCGGTCGACCCGGAGGCGCCGTCCCTGACGCTGGCGTCTGGCGAGGTCATCCACGGCGACTTGATTTTGGGCGCCGACGGCGTGAAGAGCTACGTCCAGCAGGTCGTGCTCGGACGCGTCAACCCTGCGCAGCCAACCGGCGACGCGGCGTACCGTGCCATCATCCCGACATCGGTCATGCTCGAAGATCCCGAACTGAGGCCTTTTGTCGAAACCCCGGAGATGACGGCGTGGATGGGCCCCGGTACGCACCTAATGGCCTACAACATCGTAAGTCCGGTAACCTTGGCGCGACCTGAGGTGAACTTACAGCTTTGTCCCAACTTAGCGTGCGAAAAAGGAGTTCAACATGGTGCTGCTGCATCCAGACGACGGCTCAGTAGAGTCCTGGACCGCCGAAGGCAGTGCAGAGAAAATGCGCGAGGACTTCAAGGACTATGAGCCTCGGTATGTTTCAGGACGGACCCGCCCGCCAGTGTACATATCTGACGCCGCAACCCAGGGTCCAAAAGCTACTCCAGCACGTCAACTCTACGCTTAAGTGGCGCCTCATGGACCGCCAGCCGCTCGAGAAATGGGTGCACAGCTCCGGACGCGTCGCACTGCTTGGCGATGCCTGCCACCCGATGCTTGTACGTACAACACTCCCCATCTACCCGTCTCCCCACGCGCGATCTCACCCCACCCGCCACAGCCGTACCGCGCGCAGGGCGCCGCGATGGCGATCGAGGACGCCGCGGTGCTCGGGAACCTGTTCTCGCGCCTGACGCACCCCTCGCAGATCGGGCCGCTGCTGCACGCGTACGAGGGCCTGCGCCTGCGGCGCACGGCGAACACGCAGGCGTCGTCGCGCCTGAACCAGCGCATCTTCCACCTGCCCGACGGGCCCGCGCAGGAGGCGCGCGACGCGGACATGCGCGCGGCGATGGAGCTCGAGTTCCGGCTCCTCGCCGGCGAGCACCTCGACGTCAGCCTCGAGGGCTCGCACAACCAGTGGGCGGACCGCAAGAAGAACGCGGAGCAGTTCGGGTACGACGCCGACGCCGCCGTCGACCGCTGGTGGGCCGAGGTCGGCGAGAAGGAGATCGCGCCGCTCGGCCAGCAGCAGGCGATCAAGGTCAACGGCCGTCTCTAGATTTCTCGTGTCTGCATCTGGATTTGTATGCTATAATCTCTACCTGGATCTCTGTACACAATATGTCTACCTTTTCATGTACTCCACATTCAACTGTACCAAGTACACATGTAGTAATACTATCACATGAGCTAATGTCCTTCGCTGTGAATCCGGTATATCCAGGGCATCTTGTACATGTAGGTATGGACACAGGGTATGCGTTATTTGAGCTCATCCATGGCACGTTCGAGGACCTGTGCGGCGTCCCAAACCTTCAGCCAGTCTCCGGGTGGCCGGCGCTCGACGATGCAGTCGCCGCGGGCGAGGTCCTGCTCGCCGATGTACTTTACCACGACGACGACGTACTTGTCCGCGCCGCGCTCGATCTCGGTGCGCACGAACTTCCAGCCGATGGGGCGTTGGCCGTGTATGCGGACGACGTCGCGCGGGACGTCGTACTCGATCTCCTTGAAGTCCATGCTCATGCCGGCGCCGAGCGCCTTCGAGTACGCCTCCTTGAGCGTCCAGATGAGGAAGAAGCGGCGGACGGCCTCGTCGAGGCCGAGCTGCGGGTCTTGCAGCAGCGTGAGCTCGTACATCGTCAGCTGGCGCGCGCGTCAGCTCCGGCGGTGCTCATCGGGCGGCGCGATCTGACCTGCTCGCTGATGCTCTCGACGAACTCTGCGTAGCCCGTGCGGTCGGGGACCTGGAGCCGCATGACATCGATGCCCAACCGGTAGGCAGGCGGGTTCGGGTAGAGGTCCTCGCCGGTGGCAAAGGCCATTGCGACGCAGCCGTTGTCATGCGTGATGTTGTAGCCCAGAGGTTCCGCCAGTCCCTCGGTCGTCTGGCTTTGACACCGCAAAATAGAGAGTTAGCTCGCCACAGCAGGGCGCATCGTGGGAGGCACTCGCCACGTAGGGTTTGCCCTCGTCGGTTTTGGCGAAGCCCATGAGGCTCTTTGGGACGCCGCGTTCCTTGAGGAGCAGCCGGATCAGAAGCTTGCCTAGCAGTCCCCCTGTACATCACCGGTTAGCATCGTGTTACGGCAGCGGCAGCTCATCACGGACTTATCGAGTCTATGCGGTTATAATATTTGACGACATCCTTGCGCGCGTCAGGGTCAAGGAGGGCGAGGGCCTGGTGGTAGAGCTGGAGACACCGAGTCAGCGGCGGGGCGCGCGGATGGGCGAGCGGGGACGCACATCGTCGAGCTCTGTGGCAGCGTCTTTGCTGAAGGTGATAGCCCAGACCTGCATCGCGGCTGGAGAGAGCTGGAGGATGTAGTGACCGTAGCGGACGATGTTTGTCGAAGCTTGGGAGCCAGCCCGAGCTGATGGATTGATCGACATACACGATCGGCATTTCGCGTCATTCCCTCTGGCCCTCTCAGCCTCTCCCCGCCACGACCTCGCCACCGTCCGCCGCGATGGCGAGCACACCCGTGGCGCCTCCCAGGCGGCACTTTGTCACCCTCGGCATGTTCATCATCGACATGTTCTCCTTCCTCGACGCCCAGGGCGCCCCGACGGGCAAGACGCTCCCGCCCCAGGTGAGCAGCCTCCGCCGCCGCACACCCTGCGGGACCGGCTCACGCGACCCGTAGATCGGTGGCGGGGGCACCTACGCCAACATCGGAGCCCGCATCTGGTGCGTGCACCTATTGCCACCGGCCGCTGTTCCTGGGCTCACCATGCCTGTCACAGGCTCGCTCCTGATCGCCTAGGAATGATAGTCGACCGCGGGCACGACTTTCCAGAAGACGTCCAGCGGAAGCTCGACTCTTTCGGCACGGAGATGTGGATGTATCGGGATGACCCGTCTCGCGGGACCACGAGAGCGTTGAACGAGTACAAAGGAGAATACCGAGGGTACCCGTCCCGCACCGCTGCTATCGCCATACGGCTCACATTTGTCGGCAAAGCTTCCGATACCTGACACCGAGGGTCCGGCTCACGCCCAGAGATCTCATCGATACACCGCTCGAACAGCCCGCGACCATACATTTCATCTGCTCGCCCGCCCGAGCTCAAGCGATCGTTTCCGAAATCAAGGAAAGCTCGGGGTGGTCGCCCACCACCATCTTCGAGCCGATACCAGTACGCCCCGGCTCTACCATACGCCTGTGCCGGCCCTGAACAGAGCGCAAGGACAGATGTGTTCCGGAGGAGCTCCCCGCCTTACGTGAAGTCCTGGCGTCTATCTCCATCCTCAGGTAGCATCTGTCCTGCCTCCATAGTGCAGCGAGACACTCACGATGATTCGCTCAGTCCTAATGCCGACGAGGCACTCTCACTCTTATCTACTCCTGGCGAGCCAACGAAAGCCACGATAGAGGAGGCGGCCCGACGCTTCGTGGACATGGGAGTAGGTCCCGACGGAAAGGGCGCGGTGATCATCCGCAGTGGCGCCATGGGTGCGTATATCCTGACCCGGGAACGAGGAGGACGCTGGGTCCCAGCGTTTTGGAGACCCGAAGACGCAGCCAAGATTGTAGATGTCACTGGAGCAGGCAATTCCTTCCTAGGCGGACTCAGTGCTGGTTTGCTCCTTGCCAATGGAGATGTATACGAAGGTCAGCCGGAGCACCGTGAACATGTGAGTTCTTGTCTGATTGCGTTTATAGCGACTCTCTATGCCACCATATCGCCTTCGTTTATAATAGAGCAGGAGGGTTTGCCCACCTTAACACGGAACATCGGGGATGACGGGGCCATTATAGAGCTTTGGAATGGCGATACCCCTCAACGTAGACTAGAGGATCTCCGGGCCAGAATAAAGTGAGGCAGTCATTTCAACTACTCGAAGCTATGTCTTCATAATCGACATGAATATTCTTCCTCTCGTGCTGCCTCGAAGGAGCGTGTAGTTTGCGTGTGCCCGATACAATCCCCTCATATAATCGTTTTTGGCTCCCTCTTCCGGTCCTTGTCGATTAGTGGTTAGATCATCACGTTGTGGAAACACAATTCCGTGAAGACGGAGGCTCGAATCCTCCCTGGGACACTTGTTTTTGGCTCGTTTCCTTCCGCCACTACATTTTTGCAATTTTCTCATAACGGCCACCGTTTGGGGCTGTTCACTGGTATGTACAGCCTTGTGGGTCACAGAGTCATTCGCGGACTTTGCCTGTCTCCATAAATGCTGGCTGTCCATCGTCCAGCGGCATTTTGGAGTTATCTGCGCCCACTCAAGACAGCTGAAGCATTTCGTTTCCGCTTTGCAAACTCATCTTTGTCTAGGCCAACTCGAAGCCACAACAGGATGGTAGCGACCATTGGGATTACCTTCCTCGGTACAGCTTCTGCTCAGCCCTCTTCTACACGCAACCACTCCTCCCTCGCCCTGAGGCTCGATGGAGATGTTTGGCTCTTCGATTGCGGTGAGGCGACGCAGCACCAGGTGCAGAAGAGCAACGTGAAAATGGGCAAGATACAAAAGATTTTCATAACTCATACCCACGGTGGGTACAACCAGTAGGGTCTCCTGCCTCACCTTGCTTACGACTGGCATGAATCCAGGTGATCACATTTTTGGGCTTCTTCCCATCCTGGCCAGCAGGCTCAACGGCGCTGGAGGCATGGCCGAGGGCGCTGACGATCCTCGGGCACAAAACTTGGTGTCTAACATGGCCACTGCGGAGGTTGGGACAGCCTTTCTTCAGATGAAATGATAGCTTGCTCAGACCCTTCTCTAGCCCATAGAGATCTACGGACCCTACGGCACGCGCGCATACGTCCGCACCGGCCTAAAATACACGCACACACACCTCGGGAGCCCATACGTCGTGCACGAGCTGCGCACGGCGCACGACCCGCCAGAGGACTCGTGCACCCTGCCGCTGGACCCCGCCGAGCAGCCAGGGCGGGACCTCGCGGCCGGAGCGGACGGCACCTGGCGCGACGTCTTCGCGTCGGACGCGCTCGCGGTGAGCGCGGCGCCGATCTGGCACAGCGTGCCCTGCGTCGGGTACGCCGTCGCGGAGCGGCCCGTGCCGGGGAAGATGGTGCCCGCGCTGTACGTGCCGCACCTGAAGCGCACGGGCACGCCGATGAGCGTGCTGCGGCAGCTCCAGCTCGGCGAGCGCGTGCAGCTCGCGGACGGCACGGTGCTCGAGGGCCCTGCGCGCCGCCCAGGCAGGAAGGTCGTCATCCTCGGCGACACGTACGACCCCTCGCCGATAGCGGCGCTGGCGGAGGACGCGGACCTGCTCGTGCACGAGGCGACGAACGCGCACCTGCCGGGGATCGACCCGGACACCAAGGCTACGGACACGTACGAGATCGTGGAGGAACGCGCGAAGTCGAGAGGCCACTCGACACCACAGATGGCTGGCGCGTTTGCGAAGAGGATTGGGGCGAAAAGACTGGTTCTCAATCACTTCTCTGCGCGATACGCAGGCAATGATGACGTGAACGAGGAAGCGAGGAACGTTATGGTCGCCATTCGACATCTAGCAGAGGAACAGTACGGGGATGGTAGAGAGGTCTTGTGCGCACGAGATCTCATGACCATAGACGTAGAACCACGCAAATAATCAGTCGTCAGATACCGAGCCAAATCAGCCGCAGCAACGGTGCTACAAAGGTATAAGATTGCGAAAGGTAAAATACAGACTATCCAGACACCACACATATATCAGCTCCTGCCTCTTCGATCGTGCACGTATCGACAGACGATGAAGACACCAACCATCGCTCGTACAGAGACGAAGTCACGACTTCGAAACGAGTCAGGCTTTAGTATGTAGAGACGAAGAAGAGTCCCTTACCTGTTTCCTCCCTCGACTACTCCTCACGCTTCTCGCACTGACCACGCTTTGCGACCGGCCCCCTTCCTCTGCAGGCTCGTCCACATCCATAGTATCGTCCTCTGCCTCTCCGTCGGCGTCGCCTTCTGCGCTTCCCTGGCCCAGGCGTTCTTGCGCTAGTCGGATCTCCTGGTCGATCTTGTCCACCTGCTTCTTCGTCTCGACAAGCGCAGTCGCAGCTTCGAGCAGGGCCTCCAGCTTCTGACAGTTGTCTTTCGTTGGCATGACTAGACGCGTGCTCGAGACACCCAGCTCGCCGAGGACCTGCGCGATCTTGTGTGCATTTGCCGACTTCGGCGCAGGGAGTTTGTATGAGCGGAGGTATACGGGCTGATGCGCTGCTTTGGTCGCTGTCGCTGTCGTCAGCTGCGGGACTTCCGTGCGGTGTATACAGTGGAGGGCATCTGCAGATGGATCTGGTCATTGCGATTCTCTCGAAGTAGGCGAATTTAGCTGCGCACCATAAGCAGCGCTCTTTGCACTCTGCTTCTTCGGAACTGGCGGTGCAAGCGACACAGTAGCGTTGCTCGCACTCGGCCCAGCAGACATTGGTGTGTCCGGCTCCGTGACACCCTTCTTCTTTGTCTTCTTTGTCGTCGTAGTTGAGATGCTTTCGAGTTGAGGTGCACCTGACACCACCTCTTCGTCCGCCTGGACATCTGGCAGTCCAGACTCAATTCCAAGCACCGTCCGCAGAAGCTCGTCACGCTCTTTCTTGAAGCGTCGCTCGTTCTGCTCTAGACGTTTGAGCTCCGTGAATAGAGCTTCTTCCTCTGCAATTTCCTCCTGCGTCCGGCTCTCAAGGGATTCGAGGTACTTCTTGCGCATCACCTCCCGCTCTAGAAAGGCATTATACACTACACCGGAAGAGATTCATGGCGAACTGACCTTTGTCAAATGAGAAGCTTGACAAGATCTGCGACTTCGTAGCTTCGTCGCCTGGCCATGGGCGATCGCGCACAAGTTTGCGACACACGCTGAAGTATCGGTCCTTGAGGTCCTAACAAAGCGATGTTAATATTTAATTGGCAGGCAGCTGAGGACGTCGAGTACCTCCATACTCCGAGGCGGCCCACCGGGATATTCGTATCGATCAGCTACCACATAGAACCGCTGGTCGTACTGCCGGACAAGGTCGAACAAATAGTCCGTCTCTTCTTTAGTCCATTCCTTATCTTCGCAGGTTAGCTGTCACGGTTGGGGTGCAATCCTCGTCCAACAGGTATGCATGGTGCTCACCGGTCAAGAACTTCGTGTATTCATCTTGTGTATATGTGTATGTCGGGTTCTGCACGTTGTATTTTGCGAAGGGATATTCTGCAGACCATAAGTAACTCACACTAGATCAACGGTACCAAACGGTAGGACTTACCGCCGTCTGAAGGCGTTCCGGCCTTTACCCAGTGTGACAGTCGCAAGCCGTCAGAGCGGGCTTGATTCTGGAACGAACGCCATTCCCTGTTTCCCAGATAGCCGACGCCACATGCATTATGTCGTTAGCTGGTATATGTAGCTCTCGGCCGTCTGTCCGCACCATTTCACCCGCCCTCCTCCACCGAGATTTGGCTTCTGCTTCAGCCTTGGCTTCGCTAGCTGTGCTACCAGTGTCGGAGCAGATTGGCCAATGAGCGAGTATAGCTCTCTGGACATGCCCTCAGGTTTGCGGGCCCGTTCTGGTGCGGCAGGTGCCTTCGGCTGAGAAGGGCCTGGTGTCGAAGGCAAGGAGAAGACGGAGCGAACATCCGCCGCGCTTGGCCCCGCCATTATAGCAGAGACGCAATTATGAGCACCACAGGTCGTAAGATATGTGATGAGGTGGGTAGCAAGCCGAGTGAGCGGACAAAGGTGGAAGCGTGAAGCAAGAGGTGAAGCGCCCTCAAGGGTGCGGCGCGCTCGCTTCGCACGCGTCGAGCAGTGAACGCTCCTCACCTTCGTCCACCATGTTCTCTAGATCCTTGAAGCTCGCAGCTCGCCATACACGTCCGCATCATAATATTTCCCGGACTTGTCTACGCGCTTTCTCTTCCTCGCCTGCCATCCGTACCGGCGACTCGCCAACGAAGTTCACCAACATCCTCGCCGGTGCAAACGTCCCGCCCGTGCAAGTCAAGACTGTGACTCCGGAGGGCATCCAGCTCGAGGACGGGTTGACCATACCCTCATCATGTATCTTCCTTAAGGGTAAGGTCTTCCTCTGGAATACACCAGCCGAGCCATGGGAGGGTTGGAAACCGGAGCACTTCGAGATCTTCGACACTGTCATCCCGAAACCCGGTGCGTCTCAATGAAGATCTGCTTGTTTGACAGCCAACTGATACTTCAGCAGAACTCGTGCTTTTAGGAACTGGCAAGCGGGTCGTCCCGCCACCTCCACACATCCGACAGTACCTCAGCAAGATTGGTATTCAGACTGAGTTCATGGACACAGTGCGTATAACCCGCGCCTGGTTGGATCATACAAGCTCACAAGACAACCGCCATTCGCTTGGCAGCGCAATGCATGTTCGACATACAATCTGTTGGCAGAGGAAGGCCGCCAAGTCGCTGCTGCTCTCCTACCTTCAACGCCTCAAGCATGGAAGTAGGTGGCGAGGCGTGATAGTACAAGACGACGCACAAGGTCGTATCCGAGATATAGTACAGCTGCCAATACAGCATGGAGAATGGCGCGCTATGAGTCGGGTATGTCTGCCGCCTTCCGCTTGCCTTTCGCCACAGAGTGGTCAATTTCGTCCTCCTCTTCCACCAAGGACGGAAGCGATACTTTGACGGGTTGGAGCTCTCCTATAAAGTCCCCCGCGAGCAGAACGCCAGTGTTCAATATTTCATCGCGCTCAGACACAGAATCTCAAGACGATACAACTCACCACTTTCATCCCGGAACTGAATAAACAGACTGTCCCAATTCGATAACTGCTGCTTCACGATGGCATCGTTCGGAAGGGTCTCATAGGTGAATTTTCTGTCCCTTTCACCCCGCTCTTTCTTGATTCTCGCGAATTCGAAATCTTCGACATGATTGACCGGTGGGAGCTCCCACTCTGGGTCTTGTGGCGCGCCGAACATCTCGAAGTCGCCATCACGATCTGACGAGAGGACATCGGCTTTGAGTGCGCTCAGTGCCTCAGCTTTGAGGTCTCCTATCGTCGTCTTCTCTGGTGCTGTGACCGTCGTGAGCACTGTCAGCTTGTGAGTC